TAATCTTTTTTTATGTTTTTATTTTACGCATTAAATAAAATCAAAAATTAATTATAAAGATCATTTAAAATAAACGCATTATGTGTAAACTAAATGTTGTTTTTAATTTTTTTTTTTAGTAGATATGTAGTTTTTATAATAAATTTAAACGTTTAAAACTATTTTTCCATGTCTTTCTAAAAATCATTTAAAATATTATTTTTTTAAGTTACTTTAAACTATAAATAAGTTAAATTAAAACTTCCCATGATTTAATTGCTTTTTTTGTTGTTGTTGTTTTTATTTTTACAAAAAAATTTTTTAAAAGTATTTTAAAGTTTTTTTTAAACTTGATTTACTAATTAAAGCATGAAATGAATAGAAATTACTATTTTAAAAAGACTGCGTTATTTTTTTAAACTTTTTTTTGCAACTTTTTAAAAAAAATGTTTATACAACTTAAAAATATTATACTTTTTTCTTTTCAATAATTTAATTTCACTTTTCAATAAAATTTGTTCATTTATTAAACAATCAATAGAAGTAATTTGAAAAACATTTTGCATAACTTTAATTAAACGTTTTAAAAGATAAGTTATAAAGTAATTTTTTACAATGCAATAAAAAACGTAACTAAAAATAATTTCAACTTCGAGTTTTTTTCGGTTTATTTTCAAGCTAATTTATTTTCTTTTACATAAGGAATTGTTTTGCTTATTCTTTAGTTTTTTCAATTTTTTTTAAGTTTAAGTTTAGCTTAACTTTTCTTTTTTCAGCACATTTCTGAAACATTTAAATCATCAAAACATCTAAACAGTTGTGGTCAAGTTGTAAATAAAAACAATCATTTGCGTGGTCAGCAATAGCACGCCAGCTTTATTTTGAAGAATTTAATTTATGTCAGTCAAAATGTTCGGTAATTTGTAAATTAATCAGACAATCTGAGGTTTTAGCTGGACAAAGTCCAATGTCCGACCATTAAATTGAGTATATATATATATATATATATATATATATATATATATATATATATATATATATATATATATATATATATATATATATATATATATATATATATATATATATATATTTTATATATATTTTATATATACTTTTATATTTATTTTATATTATATATATAATATATATATATATATATATATATATATATATATATATATATATATATATATATATATATATATATATATATATATATATATATATATATATATATATATTATATTATATTATATTTATATTATAATATATATATATATATTATATTATATTTATTTATATTATATATATTTTTATATTTATTTATATTATATATATTTTATATATATTTTTATATATATATATATATATATTTATACATATATATGTATATATATATATATATATATATATATATTTATATATATATAATTTATGTATATATATATATATATATATATATATATATATATATATATATATATATATATATGTATATATATATCAGGCCTTGTTAAGAAGCGTTTCCCTATTTAAATTTTACGTATGTAATCACAATTTCACTTACACGTTTTGCAATTTACATTAGGCTAAAACTTTTTTAAATAAGTTAATATTTTAAACAGTTTTTTAAAACAGATTATGGGGAAACATTAAACTGTAATTAATTGTTGTAAAAAACATTTGTGGAATATTTTTTTTATTAGATAAAAAAAAGAGAGAGATATCCTTTTTTCTAATTTCGGTTTTTTTTTTAATTTAACTTAAATTTTTTTCATTAAATTTAAATTAATTTTATTATTATTCATAGTTTTAGTAATTTATTTGATTAGAATAAATTATAATTCTTTTTAAAATTTCAAAATGCTCTATTTTACAATTTTTTTTTACTGATAAAATTTCCAAAATTTATGTTAATATAAAAAAAAATTAATAAACTTAATTCAAGTTACTTTAAAATGTTTGCATTACATATAACTTCATTTTAATTTAAGTTAAGTTTCAGGTAAGTTCCAGTTCTAAATACTGGTCTGAATAATGTGCTTTTTTAGTTAATAAATGACATCAATACAAAAAAGTTCTAGTTTAAATGTTATGTTTGGGTTTTCCCTTTGCCAATAAATTTTATGTAGAAGAATTTTTTTATAAAACCAACCAAACTTTAAACCGATTAAAAATAATGCGATCAATAAATAAAGTCAAAAAAAGCCCAACTTATATTTATTTTATTTTAAAAACAAAACTAATACCAGTGCTATAAATATAAGATACATAAATTTCAAAATTATACTGATATTTGTTTAAAACAAGTTCTGGTAATAACATCTTAAAACCAAAAATACAATTTCTCTTTTTTGGATTTAGTAAGAAATAGCAAAAATACATTAGATTTCACGGTACATAAATATAAAATATTTTAATGGAATTAAAAAAAGCAAAGCCGAAAAGCGGTAATCTTCATTTAATTACAATTTTTATTTTATCAAAATATCAGTGGCTGGATAGCTCAGTTGGGTGTGGCTGGATAGCTCAGTTGTTTGTGGCTGGATAGCTCAGTTGGTTAGAGCGTTGAGTTCAAACCCTGCCAACTCAGCGCTTGAGTAATACTTTGGGATGCAAAAAGTTGGTCAATAACAGACGCTACTTTGGATTAGTCTTAATGACTATTTGTGGCTGTTTCTATGCTAAGCCAACAATATCTTTGCATATAAGAATATTGTATAGAAAAATATAGCATAAAAATTCAAATAAATAAAATAATAAATAAAAAAAGCCAGTTAGCTAAAAGTTTTTTTTTAAAAAGGGAAAACTTAATCTAATTGTGTACACTTAAATCCCTTTAAGAAAATCAACCATAAACAACAGGCTTGGACAGGAATGGTGTGCGATCGAGGGCTATTGCTGACCACGCAAATGATTTTATTTTTTGACAACTTGACCACAAATGTTTATATGTTTTGATGAGTTAAAAATTTCAGAAATGTTCTGAATTTGAAATGCGAAGCTAAATTTAGACTAGAAAAAAAATTAAAAAAAAAAACTAACAAAAAAAAATTCCTAACGAAAAAAGAAACGAAAAACAAAAAATTTGATTGATTAAAAGATATTTATAACCTAACACTTTTTTTATTTCATTCAAATTGTTAAAACATCAAAATAGCCATGGTCAAGTGGTAAATAAATAAAAATATTAGCGTGGTCAGTTACAGAGTGCGATCGCACGCCATTCCTGAAACAAGTGTCCCCTCATTTTAAAAAAATAACCATAAAAAGAATGTTTTAAAAAAAAAAAATTAAGTTTAAATAAGTATAACATTTTTAACTAAGGAAATTTTTTTTAATCAACATTTAAATTTAATTTATAACTTTTTTTATTAAAAAATTGTTTAATTTAAAGATGTTTTATTTAAAAGACTTACAATAATTTCTAATATGATTTTGAATTTAATTACAATGAGGTATTTTAAAATACGCAACTGATGCAATTATATTTTTAACGATGTAAATATCTTCATTTAATAAAGTTACATTTATTTACATTGCGCTTTTCCATTACCCAACAAAATCTCATAACAAGGCCTGATATATATATATATATATATATATATATATATATATATATATATATATATATATATATATATATATATATATATATATATATATATATATATATATATATATATATTATATATATATATATATATATATATATATATATATATATATATATATATATATATATATATAAAATAAATACAATTAGATTTGAAACATAACTCGGAGTTTCACGCTTTATGCGATCATCAGACGTTACAAACAACCGTAACAACAACAAAAATTATATACAAAAATACAATACAGTGTTAGCTTAGATGACGTTAAAGTTGCAAATAACAAATTTGTTTTCGTGGCGACATTTTGATATTAGTTCATTTCATACAATACATTTTGATATTAGTTCATTAGTTCAAAATGTCGCCACGAAAACAAATTTGTTATTTGCAACTTTAACGCCATCTAAGCTAACACTGTATTGTATTTTTGTATATAATTTTTGTTGTTGTTACGGTTGTTTGTAACGTCTGATGATCGCATAAAGCGTGAAACTCCGAGTTATGTTTCAAATCTAATTGTATTTATTTTATTATTAATTTAATACATATTTGCTCTACTTTTGTATTGAGCACTGTCTACCGAGAAATTACTTTTATTATTGATATATATATATATATAATATATATATATATATATATATATATATATATATATATATATATATATATATATTTATATACATCAAAAATTATCCAGGTGATATTTTAAAAATCCGGAAATGTGTTTGGGTAAAATATCCTGGAAAAATCCGGAATAAATTTTCCTCTTAAATTTGCTTTTAGCTGAGTTGTTACAAATTTTTTTCCAAACATTTTATAATTTTTGTACTAATGATTAGTGAAAAAGCTTAACAAACAAATATGTTTAAGAAGTGTTAAAGATGTTTAAAACTTTTCACAAATAGAGGCAGGCATTATATATACATATATATATATATATATATATATATATATATATATATATATATATATATATATATATATATATATATATATGTATATATATATATATATATATATATATATATATATATATATATATATATATATATATATATTATAGGCGCATCAATGCATCAGCATCAATCATCTGCTAAACGGTCGATGCAAAATAATTATATAACTATATAAGTTATCTGACTTATGGATCCAAAATATACAAAGAGATAAGTTTAAACCAAGAAATGTAAATGTAATGTAAAATACAAAAAAAAATTTCTGCCAGATGTTCTTATTCTTGATATTTTTAATTTGCAAAATTTACAACTTGTATCTATTCTTCATGCAAATAAAAAATAACAATAAATATTGAGAATTTCAATAATAGTATGCCTATAACAGTGACACAAACACTGCTTTTGCAATGCTGCGTTGTATTGTATATATATTAACAAGACATACCAAAAGTGGACGTAGTTTTTCTTTTTCAATGGTCTCTAGCATTTGCTCAACAGCTCTTTGAACATTAGCTTGTGCTTCAGATGCCATTCATAAATTACCTCCTATATATACCTCTTATAAAAAAATAATAATAATAAAAAACAATAACAATAGTAAAGCGTGGGTCAAGTTTTACGGACACTCAATTCCGAAATTTTAAAAAAGTTGTGGACGTTGCTGATAGACTGATCATTGCCGATAGATAAATGTTTAGATCTATCGGCGGAATTTTATTATATCGTTATATTTGTCGTTATAATATAGCGATTTATTGACGCTTTGTTAAGAGGAGAGGGGATGGGGTCTTGATTTTGTGACAATATTTTTTTTTTAATTTAAATCTAGAGAAGACTTTCTTTTAAATAAAAGAGTATATCTGATCAAACCAAAACCCTCAGTTGATGAATCTAAATGTTGATTGTAAAATCAACTACGCCTAAATCTTACATAGTAGATGTGTACACTCCGTTAACGGAGTAGTTACAGCCTGTTAACGGACTGTTACTGCTGTAACAGTCTATGTGCTGTGCACGCTCTGCGCTTTGTCTTTATATAGTAAGAATTTTTTTTAGCTAGACTTTTAGCACACAACCTTTGTGCACTATTTTCAAAAAAAAATTACGATACCGAGAGGTAGAACATGGAACCTCCGGTTTGCTAGACTGATACGGAATCCACTCAGCCACGCTAACATTGCAGCTTGAACGAAAATTGTGTTTATAAAGCAATATTTTTGCGTTTATAATATATTATTATGTATTATTATGTATTATATATATATATATATATATATATATATATATATATATATATATATATATATATATATATATATATATATATATATATATATATATATATATATATATATATATATATATATACATATATATATATATATATATATACATTATATATATATATATGTATATATATATATATATATATATATATATATATATATATATATATATATATATATATATAATATTTTGCATGTATTATATATCGGAAGAATAGGTTTTTAAAATTGGTATCATGTTCAGGATAGCGATATTAATTTATACAGTTTTACACGTAACTATTGTGATGAAAAAAAAACATTAAACAGACTGAAAATACTAATTTATTAACTCAAAAAAGCTCAGAAAATTATAAACATTATTTTATTTAAAATGATTTTGTATTTTATAAAAATTTGTACCCCTCCCCCCTATCCTAAAAAATCATAGAAAAATTTTTTAGGAGGGGGGGTACAAAACTGTTGCGTAATATTAGGTACGATGCGAGGGGAGAGAGGGAGTCAGAAAATTTCAAAAATTGCGTGACGTAATTTTTGGACGACCTCTTAAAGCTTTTATTTCATTTTTTTCATTTTTTTAAATTTTTCTTGTAGGTGCACCAAGAAGACCTAACGGCCTTGTCACAGAGCACCGCGGAAGAGCATTAACTATGACGTTCATGCCTTTTTTCTTACTAATGCAAAGTGGGCCAGGTGGTGGACAAAGGTAAAAAAAATACATTCTTAAAAATTACATCGTTATATAATACTTTATATCTTAAACATTTAGTTTTTATAAAATGTATATATTTTTGTACAATTATCATACCGTATGCCTCTAAGTTATTGAAATTTTTTTAATTTAATAATATTTTTTGTGTTACTAATAAGGGATCATCCATAAATTACGCAACGCAAAAAATATTTTAAGAACAGGAGTAAGAGATATTAGGCTCTTTTACGCGGCGATTTTCATTTAACTTAATTTTCTATTTAGATTGTTTATTTAAATTAAGACTCTGCAAGGGAAAACTTTTGATCTTTTTTTGTTTTGTTTTTTGTGAAATTTTGCGTTACGTAATTTATGGACGATCCCTAAGCATAAAATATTTGGTAATTTTAAAACATCTTTTTTTATTGCATAATTTAATAAAATCAAGTATTATCTTTCAAATGTGCTATTGCAACACTATTTTGCTCGTAAGTTATGTCAAATAAAATGATTTGAAATGACGTTGTATTTGAAGTACTTTTTTCAGTTAAATACGTTCAGTTAAAAAAGTATTTGACTATATACGTTTCACCTAAGTATTTGACTATATACGTTTCACCTATATAGTGAAATACTTTTGCGGTCCAGTAATTTAAGACTTGAAATACATTGTTCAATATGTATATTATCAATAAAAATTTGGTTTATAATCCGCTGATGTCAGCATGGTCTTAAATAATGATTTTTACAAGTTATTTTATTCTTAATGGTTATGTAATACGGTCAACTCTACTACAACGCGGTATTTCTTTAACGCGAATCTCCATATAACGCAGAGTGAAAGTTGGAACTGCTTTCCTATAACGCGGTGTTATCTGCATATAACGCGATTTTCGTAAAAACTTTCCAACACGTTATTTACATTACTTACGTTATTTACGCGAGAAAAAAATGTAAATCATTTGCTATATAGTGTTCTAAATTACAATTTTTATTAGAACTAAGCAAAACGAAAATTTCTTTATCCAATTTTAGATGTTGCTCTATGAGGTTTGTGTTTTTGTTTTATAATACTTATTTGACGATTTGTCTGCATTTAGAGGATATTTTCCTTTTTCTCAATTGGGATTACGTATTAACCCTTTATTGTCTACCAATCCATATTTAAATCATATATATAAACTACCCAAATGTGAAAATTCTTTGTTCTTTGTTTTCTTGCTAAATGTACTTTATTAATGCATCTCCTGGACCAAGAAATCATCCGAACATTCAAAATGTATTTCATACGGGTATTTTTTAAAGTTATTTTCAGCAGATTAGAAAATCAAAAATGTAAAACTCTTTTTGAAGTTTGGAAAAAAAAATTATTTTAGACTGCACTGTTTCATTAGCTTGTACGAAAATTAAATGATCAACACTTAATGCATGTTGTTGTCTTAAATGGTTCAAAAGGAAGACAATATTTTCAGAGATATTAACATAAATGATACAGATTGCTTCTACTTTTGGCAAGGAAGGATTTGCAGATATACAAGTTCAAGATATAGAGCAACTTCTTCAGGAAACTTCCTTAAATGAAGACAAATTAGCAATTAATTGAGCTAATTGATGAGTCTACGTCTGAAACATTTGTGGAAGAAGACACTAATAGCAAATCTGCTTTAAACTTCACTTATGGTTTAAAAAGGGTTCGATTTGCCTAAAGAATTAGATTTCCAATTAACCCAAAATGATCCTTCAATAATATGTAGTGAAAAATTTAAAAGAGAATTTCAAAATTGCTTAGCTACATACAAAGAGGTTTTAAAAAAACTACAAAATAAAACTACTTTTGAAAAACAAGAAGAAAATTTTTTAAATGAAGAGGATTATTATTAAAAGTAAAGAAGCTTAGACGGCTAATATTTGACAGCAATGACGAATAAGAATATAATTTACAACGCATCATTTTATTTTTTTGTTGGAAACATTACTTTTTTTAATTCACTTTTTAATTTTATGAACTAAATAATTTACGAAATGCAATAAAATTAGATTAAAATAAGTTTATTTGTGCACAATTTATTTATTTCTAAAAAAAAACTTTTTTCTAAGATTCTATACAACGCGGTACGAATCGATTCAATTTATATTACTTCGATTCAATTTATATTACTTTTTGTAACGCGGTTTCTATATAACGCGACGAAAGTTTCCATATGATGCGATTTAAGTTATATATTAAAAGTTATATACTTTGGGAGTTTCAACATTTCTCATAACGGGGTCTTTAAAAAAATGCATTTACCATATCGTGTTCTTATAACACGGTTTCCATATAACGCGGTACGAATTAACCGCGTTATAGGAGAGTTGATTGTAATTGGATCTCAGTGAAAATAGATTACAAACTTGTTTTAATAATAACACATCTATTTATAAGATTTTGTAAATGTAATACATATTTTAATATAGTTAAAACATGAAAAATATAGATAACTGTTCATATATAATACAAGAAAACTTGAAGTTGGCTAATATTTTGAATGCAATTGAAAATGGCATGAACCTAACTCCAAATAATAACTTTTCTGATTTCATAAAACATTTTTGACAAAAGTGACATATATGTAAAAGCTCTAAAATTTGTTTCGAAGAGAATAACAAACAATGTTAATATCATTTACAAAATGAACCGATATCGGTTCAACTTGTAATTGATATTAAGAACATTTTTCTAACTACTTCCATTGATAAAGATAACTCTGTTCTTATCCAACTGTAGTATCCGGCAGACTCCAGGTGAATATTGATACTTCAAGTAGTAAAACAAAGAAAAAAGATTGATGTCATTAGTTGCATCATTTTCATCTTTAGAACTATTGTATGCATCAAGTTGTATTTTGCTCTAAGATGTTAAAAAAGAAGAAGCTAAAGCTGTTTTGCAGTTATCAGAACATATGAGTTTAGGTTTAAAAAATAATTTTAAACCAAGGCTTTTATATTATTATATACACAAAAAGGTTTAAGCTTTAGCTTTAGCCTTTTTGTGTATATAATAATATAAAATTCTTGGTTTAAAATTATTTTATAAAGGTCTTGGTTTAAAAATGAATGTAGTGAGTATAACATAGATTGAATGTAATCACTTTTTGTGCATTATCTTTTGATTGTTTGCATAAGATATTTCATTAGATCACTCGTCTAAAGTAATCTTTTAAGTTTACTGATACACTACACTAGATGCATACTTACTCTTTTCTATATAAATTTTTTTTTTAAGGAATCAAACCTAAGATTTGAGAGTAGTGTCTTTTGCATCTGCAGACAAAATTATGCTGTATTTTCTTAGTAACAAAAAACTAGCAATATAGTGTTGCTTGTATAGCGTACTTTATCAAGAAGATCGCAAGAAAAACAAAAAAAAAAGAAAGCCTAATCTAATGTTTACATTGGGCTTTTACAAGATAACAGGTAAAGTGCAAACCAATAAAATGCAAAATAATAAAAATCATATTTTGAGAACAACAAATGTCTTAACAATTTAAAAACAAAGTATTATTGACTCTGATAGCCATTCCATAGATATTTTGCATTGAATTTATAAGTTTTGTACGCATTTTTAATTAAAAGGTTTGTTTCTTATTTTTATCTGCTTTGATTTAAGCTAAAATTCCTGGTCAAGTGTGATTATCCGTTGACCAACCACAGGCTGAGTTGTGCATTTGAGTATATGAGAAAAACTGACTTTTTTCAATCAAAAGGGGAGAACAACAACTGGTAGACTGTATTTGAAATCAAATTCAATTTAATATAAAAAAATTCATAAAAACAAAATTAATTTATTTATCAATTTATCTATCATGACTACTTTCAATAATTAGGCAGTAACTAAATTCTTAGCATTGGGTCTAGATTGAGGTCTGGGACTAGATGGAACTGGTGAAAATAGAGAAGTTAGAAGTTGAGCAGTTAATTTCTATTTGGATGGCATTCATTCTATTTTTTTAAATTTAACTTATATCCTAAACGTAAAATATATTCAAAAAATCTAATCCAGCAATGCAGAATAGAAAGGCCCAAAGATAAAGCTTTTTCATCGATTGGTTTAGATCTGATCAATGCTGGGTTATTAAGTTCACTGGGCTTAGCTCCACAAACATTACATGATTGGGAGAATAGATTGTTAGTGAGGGCATTAACCACTTTACCATCAAACATAGTCAAATCTAGTCTTAACTTAAATGTGATAGTCGTATCCGGTTTTCCTTCCTCTACTTCTAACTTTACTTGAAACTTTCTGCTTTTAAAAGTTCATTTCTTATCAATTCTTCCGTTTCTTTTTAATATTGGAAATGTAAGGGTCTACAATAATGTTTACTTGAGGGCTTCTTATTTAACTATATATTTTTGTTCATGATGGTTAGTTTAAGTGGAACAATAGCTGTCTGGAAAAGACTTTGCTCGTTAACTTGGGCCTCACCAATACTTGTATGAGTATATTTGTGTTTTTATTGACATTTTGACTGGAGGCACTATCAAAACCACTTTTAAAATGAATTAGACCTTTAAACCTCCTCCCAATTTCAGCAAACATTCTCATAGAGTCTTGACATTCCATAAAAGTTAATACCCTTGTCAGAGTACGATTAAACATACCCAGATGCTTCTTTCACAATTAAAGCCTCAGGATGACATTCACGTCTCTCATTCTTAATTTCGTGAAGTGAAGAAAAAGTTGCATTATGTATTATTGATGAATTTCTAATAATTTGATACTGTTTATCAGAAAAGTCACACTGAATTTTCAAGCTCAAGACAACTTCGGTTTTCATTTTTATCGGAAAATGTTTCTCCGTGATTTTATCTTTTTCAGTGTTTGTAGCACTTTTCATGAGAACAACAAAGTCTTTTTCAGTGTTTCTAGCACTTTTCATGAGAACAACAAAGTCTTTTTTGTTAGGATCTCTAGTGGCTTTTTTTTATTGAAGCTTATGCTTCAGTTGGATGTTCAGCCTATTTGGTAACCTCAAACAAGATAATGTTTAATATTTAAGCTTGTAAATTATTTATTTTAATGGGTTAAATTTAATTGATTTATAACTTTCTCAGATCTTCTGCTTCGATCATCAAAATCTTCCGAATTCTTGCACTTTCTACCAAGACCTGCTGCAAAGGTCTAGAGAAGATTCTTTAAGGTTTCCGCAAATTTGATCGGAATTTACATTTAAATATTATTAGAGTTTTCTTTAGGTTTATCATTTTAGGTTTGTCAATACTTTCATAGTATAAACCCTCCAGTCTACAAAACTCACGTAGAAGAGCTTCGAGTAAATTATCATGATTAATTTCTAACTCTTGAATTGTAGAAACTAAATGTATTATTTGCATGTTAAATGTAAGCAATAACTATTGTTAGTTAATTTATACGCAAGTTTTAATTTTAAAACATGCACTATGCCATCAAATGTTGCATATTTTGATTTTCGAGGTTTGATAATTAGCACCATCTGCTTGAGCATGAGTTTTTTTACGAATAGGAACTAAATGTATTATTTGCGTGATGAATGCAAGCAATGAATTATTGTTCGCTACTTAATACGCAAGTTTTAATCAAAAACAGAAAAAAAATATACAAAAAAAACGAAGTTATTAAAAGGTCTTATTTTAAGTGGGGCAAGTTATTTTTTCTGCTTTCATATATTCCTATTAATGGGAAAGTATTAAAATACCATGGAATCTAGTAGAATCTTTTAGTTTTTGAACTAAACTCATAATTAAACTAATTTAAAAAATCAATTTATGACACATTTTTGAGATCTGAGTAAAATTAAAATTTATGGTCAAAAATGTTGTTAATAGTTACCAAACATATTTAACATGCATTCTAATTGAATTTTGAATTGTTTTTATTCATATCAATCTTAAAAGAGTGACTCTAAAGCGAGACTTTTTTGAACGAGTTTTCCGATAAATAAAATAAATGTCTCGGAAAAAGGCGAATAAATTGGTGAAATCTTAAAAATTATTCACAAAAAAGTTAATTTGTGTCATTTAGTGGTATTTACTTACATTATAATTTAATTATTTTCTAGCAAGTTTTTTATGGGGTTTTTTTAGCCGTTTTTTATGGATTTTGACACACTGTGCGACAGTCTTCAAAAAACTGATTATTGAAATTAGGTAAAAGCTAAATCAAAAATGTTGTTACATTTTATTTTAGTTGTCAAAACTTATAAATTTTATAACTTAAATCAATTTTTAATCAAATTATTTATTTTCTTTTTAATTCCAATTTGAAGAGATATGTTTATGCAGTAGTCGCTTTACTTAAAACATAAATTAGATAATTTTATTACTGATATTTTAAAATTAAAGACAACTAACTTGACCATTTAGTTTGAACAGAAAAATTAACAGCCTAAAGCATAATTAATTATTATCTTGCTGTTATTGTCAAAGACTTTAAAATCTCGCTGCCTAAGTCCAGTGGCGAATTAAGACTACTTGGGCCCAGGGCTATTTTTGCTTTTGGAGGTCTTTTTATGACCCAGAGGTTTAAAAGACTTTTTCCAGAAAATTTTTTTTCAATTAGAAATACCAATCAAAGACCTAAGAGACTAGCAAAGGGCTAGGAAGAGCACAAAAAAGGATATATTTATTTATTTTAAATGGCTGTTTACTCATCTAATACTGAATATTAATGCAGTGGCTAGTTGGTACGAGCCTTCCTTTCCCTCCAAAAAAATGTCATTGGGGCCCCAAAATGTTGAAAAAATTTTCCATTAGGTATTAAATTAAAAAAAAAAAAAAAAAAGCTCTTTAAATTTCAAAAATGGCCCTAAATTTGCATAGCCCCAGCCCTCCTAATTGGGGAATTTTGGGGTAGCCTAGCCACGGCTCTGCTAATCATCTTAAACTGACCCTCAAACTTAAACCACAAATCAAATTTAGCTTGTTTTTCTGTGAAGCAGAGAAAATTGCAATGTTCGATTAAAAAAAAAAAAAAAAAAAAAAAAAATTTCTATATCTTGGGCTCAAATAATTGGCTTAAAAGAATTCAAATTATGACAATTTGGTTATTATTGGTCATAAGCATGACTTTAAATGTCTGACTCTTTTAGGTACGTCTTAAGGTTACAAGATCAAAAGATAATGTAGTACTGTTTTAGTACAACATTAGTACTAAAATCATTTATCTTGTTTGTAACATTTTATAAAAAAAATTAATTCAAATTTTTAATAGTGCTGTTATTGACTTCATTGATGATTTGAAGAAACTTATTAGATAAGGTTATATTTTCACTGTGATTGCATTTTAAAATTAAAGTATTTGTACCAATATTAGAACACTTAGATAATGAAGTGAGAATATGTATAGATTCGTACACAATTGTTTGCAATAAGTTTTGCTTTTTTCATAGCTTACAAAATATTGATAATTAGCAAAATAAACACTTAAATGAGGGGGTATTAAGACCCTCTAAAGACACTAAAGACAAGCATTCTAACTTTTTACTACTATGACACATATAGAGATCTATAAGATATTCTTTAAGATACAAACTTTAATGAATCACATTTTTAACATGAAAAGAAAAATAAAAATGACAAAACCTGAAATATAAATTCTACGAGAATATTATGTATACATTATTTTAGTATTGACTATAAGTTACATAATAAAACTAAAACTAAAAATTATAACTTGAAGATTCAATTTGTATATTTCAATAAGACAAATACTTCTGTTGACACACAAAAAAAAAATCTTTAAAATTTTTAAACTAAAATAAGATACTTGTTATTTAAAGTTTTGAACTTAATCAATGTTTCATTATTGCTTGAAATTTTGAGGAAAGTTGAAAAAATTCTTTTTAACAACAACAACAACAACAATTGCAACAACAATGTAAATAGCAAAACACAATAAACGCCTGTTAAAAACGTAAAATTTTGTAAATTAAAACAAATATTTTTTCAATTTTGATATTTTTGTTATTAATTTATAACAAATTATTAAGTATATTAAAATATTCTAAAATTTTTTACACTTCTGTCTAAATAAGATTATTTGCCATTATAAGACTTTTAGGGAATTTTTCTATTATATATACTTTGGCTAATTTCGATTAATGATATATTTTTTAATAAAATATTTTAAATAAACTACTAAGCAAGAAATAATATCTGATAAATAAACAAAGAGAAAAAAAAATCATATATTAAGCTATTAAAAAAAAAAAAATTCAATTAAAACATCTATGGAAAAATTGTTATAAAAATTTATATTAAATAAAATATGAAAATTTTTGAAATTTTAAGACTTATTCAGAAAAAAATATTTATGTTGACCAGCCAACGAAATTTTGAGAAGGTAAAATAAATCCAGAATCAGAAATCTTTTCACTGAGTAAATAATTGTACTCAACCTCATAGTTTTTTCCACAATTTGAATCCCAAAATGTGTTTCCTTCTGTAGAATAACAAAGAGCAAACTTGACAATAATTTTAGAAGCTTTTAATGATGAAGGAAAAACAATTTCAAATGAAAATATATCCCTTTTTCCACTTGAGGAACTTGAAATGTAGTTTGATAATACATTTTCTTTTGATTTCCAGTCATCTATAGTGTACAAAACACTGACTTGTTTTTGATAACATATATTATTTACTACAACAGTACCAAATAAACTATATTCACGAAATACAACACTCTCAAGACATATATTATTAGCATTTAATTTTTCTTCTAGAGCTCCTTCATTTAATGGAAGTTTAAAATTCAAAAACTTGCCTTTAGCATCAGTTAAATGTCCTAATAAATTTCCTTTTACAGAGCTTGTTGTGAATGAACGACGTGAAGAGCTATGTAATCCTAAACTAAGTAAACTCATTTCAAGTTCATCGTCAAACTCAAATAACGTTTTTACTGACTTTAAAGGTTTCCCAAGACTATCAGCAAAATGAACACTTTTAGCTTTCTTTATACATACCTTATCATTTGAACCATCGCCTTTAGAGATTAATATGCACGATCTTAAAGTTTGGTACTCTTTATCAACCGAACTTTGAATATCTAAAGTATCTTTACTTTTTATAGTTGCAAATCTCTTCAAATTTTCAGGTTCAACATTATGAAAATTAGCTACATCCAGGACTTTCTCGCCATTGCATTTAAACTCTATATTTTCAACCATATTTAAAGGATAGTTTTTACAAACTTATTACTACAATACTATATCGGACCTGACCGCATATTCCTTATTTGAAATACACATTTATCCAATCGTATTTTATAAAAGAAACTTTTCGTGAAAACTTTGCACGATTAAGAGACGTGCTCAAGAAAATTTTTCGTAGCTTTGTATGTTCGTATGGCGTTGAGTAAACAAGTTTCGTAATTCTTTCGTTTGCTCAAAAAGAAAAAAACAAAGAGAATAAATTATCTTGAGAAATTTTGTCACGATGCGATTCTGTCATGCACTGTTAAAGGATGAGAAGCGGACATAAAAACATGAATGAAAAAGCGTGAAAAAATTGTGTTGAAAAAAAACACTCTCAAATTAACTTATCGGCTTAAATTAAATAAAAATAACAGTAAGTTGATAAAATACTAGTACCTAGTACTCTTAATTAGTTTTTGCTAGACTAAAATTTAAAAGCTAGACAAAAATAAAATCTGTTACACCTTAAAGCCAATAAAGCCATAAAGTACCATAGAACTAAAAATTCAGTGTAAAGCTGTAAATTCATTTAAATTCACTTAAAAGAACCGCAAGTTTAAAAGCTGATAAAAAACTTCTAGTTTTAAAAACCAAACAGCTACTTCTAATTTTAAAAACTAAACAGCATTGTTGCGTTTAAAAACATTTTATGTGACACCCCGATAAAAATCAGCTAGCGACAGCGTTTTCGCTACGACAGCGTTTTGGCCACGAGGATCGCTGAATACAACTTGTAACGATAAATACAGAATTTTGGCAAGGTTCGCTAGCTAGCAAAAATGACAAAAATTCTCATTACATTATTATATATTTCTTCATATTTATATGTATACCATCCCAGTAAGCACAGGACGTTTTTAAAACGTTTAAAAAACTTATAAAAATGAATATTAACGTTTTTTAAACGTTTTAAAAACGATCTGTGCTTACTGGGATATATTATACTCATAACATTAATACATTAAAGCTGTTATTAATTGATTATCAACCTTATTTACTTATTATAAACGCAGACGACTTCGTAACAATTTGACTCAGTATACGTTATTTAATTAACATTTCTATTTTTAGCACGCAAACCTTTTTCATTATTTGCTCGTGCTTTTTTGCTTTTTTATATGTTTTAGCTAAAAAGCTTTAGACATATTGTTTTAAAATAAAATGAAAAACTAACTAAAATCCAACAATATATATATATATATATATATATATATATATATATATATATATATATATATATATATATATATATATATATATATATATATATATATATATATATATATATATATATATATATATATATATATATATATATATATATATATATATATATATATATATATATATATATATATATATATATATATATATCGCTACAGCAATAGGCGACTATTGCCATTTTTGAGTTTTACGTTTTTGAACCCGGACAATGGCAGACTTAATCAAATAGCTACAGAACTGTCGTTACATAGTGGTTTTTTGACGATTCGTTTGGAACTTGTTACTAAAGAGTTACAGTGTTGCAAGGGAAAGGGGTTTAAAAAAGGTCAAATATTTCAACGCTTGAAAAGAATCTGTCAAAGAAAATTGAATCTTTATTTTTCATATCGAGTAAGCAACATGCTTATGTTAATGCTAACTAAGTTCTCCATCTCAGTCGTTTACAATCTAAAAAAACTACAAATTTACTTATAATTATTGGAAACGGGGCGAAACGGGTCTATTGGTGAAGTAAAGCGAGTAAAGTTATTATACAAATACTATACAAAACAACCAGAGTAAAAAAAAACACAGACGGCAGCATATTTAAAAAGTAAGTGACTAGTATTTACTTACTTTAAATATGATTAACTTTTTTAAAATGATTTAATATGATTAATCAGAGACGCCGAGAGGGAGAAAGTACACTTAACCCAAGATAATAGGGACACCAACAAATGTAGACTAAAAGAAAAATTATGGAAATGCTACAAAATATTAAAATTATTTCTTTTATTTTTTAAGACCAACTCGCTAGGTTTTATTATGAGACTCAAGGTTTGATAACGACTCTCACGGTTGATCCAAAATTCTCATGGTAAATTTTAAAAATTTTCAGAAGAATTTTTTTTTCAAATGATACCATAAAATGCCGATTTTTTGATGAAAAAAAGGTTCACCTCCAATACCATAAAAAATCTTTTTAAATACCTTAGGAATAATATTCCTCACAATAATGCTGAATTGGAAAGGCTGTTTAGAATTGTAAAAAAAAAAACCACCTAAACAGCTGTTGAAAACCTCAAAGAATGCAACAAATTTTACAATTCTGAACATAATGAATAAAAATGAGTTATTTATTTATGCTACTTTAATTTTTCTTGTTTGAAAAAAAGTATATATTTCTTAAATTTATCGTTTATCCAGGTTTTTGTGTAAATCTCAAGGTTTTTTTCAATAAATCTCAAGGTTTAAAAAAAAAGGAAGGAGGGTTTGAATATATACAGAGCCGACAACACGGGAGGGAGGGGGCATCAGGGCACTTACCCCCACCACTCCCCCAGTTTTTTTGTAAAAGACCTTTTTTTAAAAAAAGAAATTTCTAGATATAGAGGACTTTTTTCAGAAACTGACGATTGTGTCCCTTCACTTTGAAACCCGTTGAAGAACCAAGAAGTCGTTAAAAATTGATAATAAAAATGCTAAAAACCTGTTGTGCTCAAAATTGTTCATATAGCAGCATAAAGGACAGTAATGTAAAGATTTATCTAAATCACTTCTATTTTTTTTAGGTTTTTATATTTGAATTTTATATAACTTATTTGCATAAACTAACTTCCAAGCTGTTTATAAGAAAGTATAGAAAATTTTTATACTGAAATTATGTCGTTTATTTTTTATTATTACTAAATTTTGAAATGCTTATAAACGTACATGTGTTATAAACATACCACTAATAATTCGTTTAACAATGCTCAAAACATTTTACTAAAGAAATTACTTTCTTATTAACAATAGTTTATTATTTACTAACGCTCAATTAAGTATTATTAATTAGGTATTTAGAAATAAAAAACAGCGTAAAAATGTTTACGTTGTTAATTAAACTTGAATGAAGAAAAAAAATTTAAACAATTTTTTTAAAGGTTTTTTAATTTTATTTACGTTTTCAAAACATTTCATGGACTTGATTTCACGGGTTCTACATTTCAATTGGGGTATTAAGATTACAATCACGTGACAACCGCGTTGTACCTTTGACCGATGCGTGTTGTTCTTTTGACCAAAATGTCATTATTAAAAAATTATCGAATCTTTTTGATATTTTAGTTTCTTATATATTAAAAAGAAACTTCTGGCCTACTTCATGTCTATAAAAAAAATCTAACTATGTAATTTTAACTGTCTGAAAAAAATCATTAATCCTTACAAAGAATCATCAATCTTAACAAAGAATCATCAATCCTTACAATCTTGCAAAGAATTATGTATCGAAGTTACAATACTCAGTCAGTATTACTAATAGTATTACTAATTTTTTTTAAAAGAAATCATTTATTACAACTATTTGGATATATTCACATATATATAATATAGTCACATATATATAATATAATCACATATACATATATATATATATATATATATATATATATATATATATATATATATATATATATATATATATATATATATATATATATATATATATATATATATATATATATATTTTAAACATCTTCGCTTCCAACAAGGCTGCAAGCAACCACTAATTAGTGTTTGAAGTTACTGGAAGAGAAAAGATGAAGATTGTAGAGCAGGATAACGATTGACAGACGACTTAAAAGATTGCAAATTATATGAATCAGGAAAGCAAGATGAAGGAAACGAATTCCAAAGAACTGATGTTCGAGGAAAAAAACTAGACGAATAAGAGTTTTTGGAGCACTTAGGAACAGTAACAGAAAAAGGATGAGACTTAATTGAATGACAAGTAACACGAGAGTGAATTTTAGTAGATGGAACAAGAGACCCTAGCTCTTTAAAGCAGTGCTCATTATAGTATTTGTAGAAAAGAGAAAGAGAAGCAACATTACAACAATATGATAATGGTTGAAGGTTGGCAGCAAGAGCAGGTCAAAATATGTTTACAATGCGTTTTTGCATCTTGTCTAAAAGAGAAAGGGCATCATTAGAAGATCCGCCCCAGATATGGAAACAGAATTCCATACAAGGCCGGAGTTGAGATTTATAGAGATAGAGAATAGAATCCAGAGTAAGAAAATGACGAGCTCGATAAAGAGAAGCGACTTTAGCAAATGCTAATTTTGCAACGGATTTGATATAAGGTTTCCAAGAAAGATCAAAAGTAAGAGTTAATCCTAGAAGATGAAGGGTAGGAGACTCATCGAGTACATTACCGTTCATAAATATAGGAAGGTTTGAATTATTGCGATAAGGATTGGCTGAAAAAAATTAAGTTTTATCTGAATTAAAGTTCACCAGCCACTGTGAGCCCCATGGTGTAGCAGAAGTGAGATCTTTTTCAAGCTCAGATGCCCCCTGCAAGTAATCAGAGGGAGTTGGCTTCTTATCGTGATAAGAATAAATGGTTGTATCATCAGTGAACAATGCCACCTTAGATGTGAGAAAATCTGGAAGATCGTTAATTTAAATTAAAAAGAGTATAGGGCCAAGAATTGAACCTTGAGGAATCCCTGAGGTTACAGAATAAGAAGAAGAGTGCTGTCCATCAAGGACAATTTTTATTCTACGATTGGAAAGGAAGGATTCAATAATCTTAAAGATGTTTCCAAATACACTTTAAGAAGAAAGCTTATGGAGGAGACCAGCATGCAAAACTTTATCAAACGCTTTAGAAATGTCTAGAGCGATAGCCTTAACCTCTTCACCTTTATCTAATGCGCGATAAAACCTATCGGTTATTACTGTTAGCAAATCAGCTGTAGAACGAGAAGATCGAAATCCATATTGATGATCAGAAAGTAAGTTATGAGATTCGAGATGAGAGATTAAGTGTTTGTTAATTAAAGACTCAAAAACCTTGCTTATGTTAGGAAGAAGACTAATGGGACGGTAGTTAGACGAATGGGATTGCTCTCTAGAATTTTTAAAAATAGGGATAGCAGATGCTGCTTTCCAACAGGCTGGAAAACAAGATTCTGATAAGTAC